ACACACACACACACACACACACACACACACACACACACACACACACATATATATATATATATATATATATATATATATATATAGGCTTAGGTTATTTTATTCTAACTAATTATTGTGTAGATGTAAGAATAATTGTGAATCAATCATTTTAGTCATTTTAAGAAAACCATTTATCCATATTATTAAATTAAAAATAAATAGAATAATACCATTTATATAAAAGAAGGGTAAAATTGTATATTTACATTACTTTAAATTAGGAAACACAAATTTAAAAATGGAATTTACGGAATTTTATGAATTGCTTTTATTATCTTAATTTTGAATTCTGTTTTTTTTTTAATTAATTCGATTAGAAATCTATCAGAATTTTATTTTGTTATAATGATGTTCTATGAGATTGTTTTGTCAGAATGTTATTCTACTAGAATATTATTGAATAATAACAAAATTTTTGAACATGCAGTCGAATAATAACAACATTCTTGAAAAAATATCTTTCTTAAATATAAAATTCTTGATACATTTTAGTATAATTAAACATATTCTAACAAAATGTCATCAAAATGCATAAAATTCTTAAAAAATATCATTCTCAAATATACAATTCTTGAACAAATTCTTAAAAAATATCATTCTCAAGATGCATATTCTAACAGAATGTCATCAAAATGCATAAAATTCTTAAAAAATATCATTCTCAAATATACATTTAGTTAGAATACAATGCTTGTGGACATGATGCACATGTTGCAATGCTTCTTGGTGCTGCCAAAATCTTGAAACAACTAGAAAACGAATTACGGGTAGGTAAACTGATCATAAAGATCAACTGGGGTTCGATTTTCAGTAACAATGTTGGATGGTGGAACTGGGCTTAATGCAATTCCAGATTCAGTCTCCATTACTGGTACTTATAGAGCTGTTAGCAAAAAGAGCTTCTATGCACTTGCAGAAAGAATACAAGAGGTGATTAAAGCTCAGGCGTATGTATATCGTTGTTCAGCTACAGTTGACTTTGAAGGTCCAAACATCCAATTTAAGAAATTTAGAAAGTCGATTTCATTCTTCTCAGCTTCAATCAAGAACAATAAAAAGAAAATAGAAGAAGAAGAAGGAACGACCTGGGATTTTCAAGAAAAAACCACCGAGCCCCCTCCACTGTTACGGATCGTTGCTGCTGGTTCATCCCTTTTGTTGCTTCGTTTCGTCGAACCCAAGGGACAACCCCCTCCATTTTGCGATCGATTAGCCACCACCGAGAATCGACACAACTTGCTGCTTCATTCTTCTTCTTCCGTTCGGACTCATCAACTCCGTAGACAATCGGACTCCTCCTGCCGAACACCAAGCAACACAAACACCATCAGATTTGCGACTTTTTTTGGGTTTCTGGTAGAGATCGTATGTTCTCTGGTGAAGAAGGCTTGGAACGAGATTTAGGATTAATGCTATGAAACTTATTCTTATTTAAAGGGAAATTAATTGATTTAAATTTACCAAAATTAATTAATAGCTAAGATTACAATTTTACCCTTATTTAGGTATTTGAAATGATTGGTCCACATTCATCCCTACATCCATACAATATTTAGTTAGAATACCCGAACCTCTCTCTCTCTCTCTCTCTCTCTCTCTCTCTATATATATATATATATATATATATATATATATA